TACTCCTCCTGGCCCTGAGGATGGGGATGATATGATGGCAGTGAGAGAGCAGGGTGGTGGTGTGAGGGACAGGGGCCGTGGAGGGGCACAGGGAGGGTGTGTGGTACAGGGAGCAGAGACTGGGGCAGTAGGGCTGCTTGCTCCAGGAGCTCATCCCACAGCTTGAGGTGCCACCATCGCATGGGTGTGTGTGAACACCAGCCTCTCCTGCTGCCTGCTCCATGCTGGTGGGGAGATAAGCGGGGATGGGCAGGAAGGAGCAAGACCCCCTGTTCCACGTGGGTTGAATGTTCAGCAAGTCACCCAGGTCAGCAGGTCACCCAATGGAGTGCTCCATGAGAGGGTGTCGTGGTTTAACTCAGGACACAGGGCTTTCTCCTTTCCTGCCTTGTGATGTGCTGCAAGGCTTTTTGCAGGGGCTGACAGGCTGAAGGCTTGCCGGAGCGACACACAAGGTGTGCAGCAAGGAAATAGCAGGAGCACTTCACCATGCCCTCAGACATCACCCTGTGACTGAGGAGGGATGGGCAGAACTGGCTTTGATCACTTGCTCTGCAGCCGTCTCCTTGCCCAACAGTGATGGCATCTCGGGCAGTGATGTGGTGGCATCTCAGGCTGCTGTGCCAAGTGCTGCCCAAAACAGGTGGACCCTACCCAAATTACAGCCTTTTCTGTTTGGATCTGTGGATGCCAGTGCCTCATGTTTTCATCCATAACATTCAAGATGTTGGCTGGGAAGGGAAAGTGTTTCCCTATCTTGAGGACATGCTTTCTGAACGCTACGGCAGCACAGAAACTCTCAGACTGAAAGATGCTATCGATGAAGATTTAGAGGTTCCTGATGGCTTTGATGGAGAGGAGAAAACCAGCCATAAATCACTGCCAGAAGTCCTAAGGAGGGAGAAGGCTGGTGATGGAGTTTGTAGCTGGCTGGTGAGAGCACGTCTGAGAGAGCACCTACTGAGTGCTGCAGATAAGGGATGGTGTGTGCAGGCTGAAAAGCCATTTGGTGTCACAGGTAGGGGCCTCAGCACCAGGAGCTCTTCTGAAGTGTCCTCTGGGTTTTGCCAAGGCTGCATCTCCTCCCTGGCTATGGTGCCAGCATGGAGATGGGGAGACAAAAGGGGATAGAGACAGAGGGGGCAATGTGGGACAGGGGCCATGAGGGAAGGGAGAGGAGAAATGTGCTCCTGTAGGTGCAGAGGAGAGCGATGGGCACTGGATGGGCATGGGGGAGGCATTTAGCTGAGATACCCCAGGTCTGGAGAGGTCTCTTGGTGTCTGGGGGCTTCACAGCACTGGAGACAGTGATGTAGCTGGTGTGAAAGTGAAGATGGAATCACACTAACAACTGTGATTCCATTGCAGCACTGCAGCTCTCCTGTGTGCTCCTTTCTGTCCTCGGGCATAGGCAGAGCTGGTGCTGCCCAAAGGTTGTGCCTCCACCTGAGTCCTCCCTGCACAACCTCAGTGCTTTCCATCCCAAAGGCAAACAGCAGGATCTATCCCCAGTGCCTATGCAGGCATGACCCGTGGCTTGGTCAGCCAGTCTGAGACCTGGTCCCAGCTCTGGACTGAGCTGCCTGCCCTGCTGGGAGAGCTCAGAGAGGGTGTCAGGGGCAGAAGAGAGAGATGGCAGGATGGAGAGAGCAGATGGGGGAAAAGGAATGCCCAATAGGCTGTGGCATGGCAGAAAACAGTCAGAGTGTCCGAGGTGAGGATGAGCTGCGTACACATCTTCCAGCTTGTTGTCTGTCTGTGTTGTGTGTATCTCCACACCCGTAACCACTATCAGTCCCCCTCCTAGCCTCAATACGGAGATTGCTTATACTCGCCCTTCAGTGAAGGCTCATTTTCGAAGTACCCGTTGAAGTCCTTCACTCTGCAGCTGCAGTTGTGTCTCAGCCCATCACTTTCCAGCATGACCTCTGGGTGGCATCCGAAGGCGAGCGGATAGGTTTTCCTCCATTTCTGTGACCGGTTTTGTGGAGTAGAATGAGATGGACTTTTCTTACTTGGGGCAACTGAGAGCACAAACTCTGTCAAGGCTGGTAATGAATTAAATGCACTCAGATGAGGATGCTGGTTCACGAACTGAAGTGGAAAAACTGAAACCCTCATTTTAGCAGAGTTGAAGGAAAGGTTTCTTTTCAAGATTTTCAAATTCTTCCTGGAAGAGCTGGGGTAGATGTCTGCTTGATTGCTAGCTTGTCTGATTGGTTTGATTAGCTGTTACAGGAGTGACAGCTAAATCTCCCCATCTCACCAAAGCGAAGAATTTAAAACTCATTTCAATTGTACTGAATCCAACCCCCAAACTGCCACAATTATATATTTCTAAGCCATCTTATACACTTGTCACCTCTTCTTGCATCCTTGGCAGAGTGCCTAGGAAGGGTGGCAGCAGAAAATGCTTTCCCTCTCCCTTTATGTATCCCTTTCCCTTGCGTTGGAACTGGGTGCGGAGCTGGGCAGTGCCACAGGGCTTCCTTGCCCAATTAGTGTTTAGCATTTCTGAAGGGTTTCTTGCTTTTCAAAGCACTTCATGGGCCACGTGTACCAGGCTCAGATAATGGTACAGATAATGGTACAGATGCATTTCCCTGTCCCTCACGCACTTACATACGCTCCCCTGTGTATGTAAGCAAAGCCCAGCCGCTGCTGCAGCTGTAGCCTTGATAATGGAGAAGCTGCTGTAAGAGCTACGTTGGTTCCCCAGCTTTAGCATCATAGCAGCCATGCTCCCATTTTCTCACACCTGCACCTCTTTAAAAAGCTGTTCTATTAAACCCTTGGCTGTTTGCTGATGGCAGAAATCTCCTACTCTGAGCACAAACGAAAGGCAAGGGCATTTCTTTTAAATGACTTTACAAACACGAACTGGTCCCAAAGCCTGCCAAACCTTGTTTTGGAGGGGCGTGCTTTAATATTTACACATTTAGCTTGTCTATACATTTAGCATGTTTATACATTTAGCAAAATCAGCCTCAGGAGTCCCAGGTGTTTGGAGCCAGCACCGTTACCCAAACCAGCTCACAGAGACCTGCTGTGCCAAGTGCTCCTGCTGCACACTCTGGTGTGAACACCCAGCTCCCACTGGGCTACCAGCACCAGTGCTCGTGGGGCAGCACTGAGTGGAGCTGCTGGAGACACTGTCCTGGCTGGACTGGTGGGGTCAGGATGTCCCCAGCACCCAGGGTAAGGTGAAGCCCAGCAGGTTTTGGGGTCTGGGTGGTGTGGGTAAAGCAGGTCTGATGAGAATCTCCTCTGTCCTGCACAGCTCCCCAGGCGCCTTTGCTTCTCCCTCCCGTTCCAGGAAATTCTCCTTCATAGAATCAGAGAATGGTTTGGGTTGGAAAGGACCTTAAGATCACCTAGGTCCAACTCCCTGCCGTGGGCCTCACACTGGTCCATGTTGCCCAAGGCTCTGTCTGACCTGGCCTTGAACACTGCCAGGGATGGAGCATTTACCACTTCTTTGGGCAACCTGTTTCAATATCTTAGCACCCTCACTGTAAGGAACTTTGACCTGCCCCTGTTGAAGTTTGAACCCATTGCCCTTTATCCTATCACTACAGTCCCTGATGAAGAGTCCCTCCCCAGCATCCTTGCAGACCCCCTTCAGCTACTGGAAGGCAACACATGAATTTTGGTCCATTGATTTTTTATTTTATAACGCCCATTCTCCTCTTACCTTGGGGGTTAACCACAGGCATCTCCATTTGGGTGAAGGCACTGTTTCTGTCCGTAATTCTTGTCACCTTCCATAAGTAATTCCATGTGGCAGGCTGAGGTGACTGGCTTCACCACATGCATCTCCATGGCTGGTGTGGCTGCAGCTGCAGTGTGATGTGGGACTGGGGGAAGGGACCAGCATTTCCTGGCATTATTGACTGATGGGCTGGAGCCCATGCAGCCGGCTCATGCAGCCCTTCCCTCTCCCATGTCTGTCGGGCTGGGTTGTGGACCAGGCTGAGCCAGATTAGAACCATAGAATCAACCGTGTTGGAAAAGACCTTTAAGATCATCAAGTCCAAGCATTACCCCAGTACCTCATTAAATCACACCACTGAGGGCCTCATCTACACAGTTTCTGAACACTTCCAGGGATAGTGGCTCCCCCACGGTGACTCCAGCACTGCCCTGGGCAGCCTGTTCCAATGCCTGAGCACCCTCTTGGTGAAGAAATCGTTCCTAATATCCAATCTAAACCTCCTCTGATGCAGCTTGAGGCTATTTTCTCTCCTCCTTTTACCCAGTTACACCCTTGTTTGGGTTTTCAGCATCTGCTTCCGGGCAGTGTCCCCCCTTTGTCAAGGCTACCTCTGTTGGGAAGGTTGGTGCCTGCCTTTAAGACACCTTGGGACTCACACAAACTCCTTGGGCTGAATCTGTAATATAACTTCTTGTTTTCCCTATCCCAGATTTCATCTTCCAGAAGGAGCTGTTTGCTGCCAGAGACACAGGTGAGCCGAGACGACCATGGCATGGGCTTTGTGGGTGCTCTGGAGATGCCAGTGGGACATGCTGAGGGCACAACTTAGACCTGCTCTTCTCCCTGGGGCAGGGCACTGGCTCTGTGCCGTGCTGCAATAGCAGCAAGTGCTGTACATCACCACTCTGCTCCACATCTCCCTTCCTCCTGCAGCCCCTCGGCCTCTCTGTGTGCTTCCCAGGGGCATCCTGCTGGGATGTGGTCCCTGGCCCTGCAGAGAAGGGACCATCACGCCCTGGCAAAAAGGGCTGTCCCCAGCCCTGCCCCTGCTCCACTCCCTGCAGCCCCATGTGTCTCCTCCATTGCTAAATGGGGACACAAAGAGTGCCTTTAAAGGCACTCCTGGAAGAAGCTGCCATTGCAGAGAGAAGCCCAGTAACACCAGGAGATCTTTCAAGCCAAGAGCAGTGCTGGGCTGGGGAACCGAGGAGGCAGCAAACGCTGCCAGCAGGGGCTGGCAGATATCATATTCTCCCTTTCTGTCCCCACTCCCCTTGCAGACCCCATGCACAACTTCTCTGCTCAGCCCTGGCAGGCGAAGATGGCCAACCTGACCTTTGACAACTTCACCCTGGGCAACCACTCCGAGGTGGCCATCCAGCCTCCCACCAACTACAAGACAGTGGAGCTGATTTTCATCGCCACGGTCACTGGCTCGCTCAGCCTTGTCACGGTGGTGGGGAACATCCTGGTGATGCTGTCCATCAAGGTGAACCGCCAGCTCCAGACTGTCAACAACTACTTCCTCTTCAGCCTGGCCTGTGCAGACCTCATCATTGGGGTCTTCTCCATGAACCTCTACACGGTCTACATCATCAAAGGCTACTGGCCACTGGGGGCTGTGGTGTGCGACCTGTGGCTGGCCCTGGACTACGTGGTGAGCAATGCCTCTGTCATGAACTTGCTCATCATCAGCTTTGACCGGTACTTCTGTGTCACCAAGCCCCTGACGTACCCGGCCAGGAGGACCACCAAGATGGCAGGGCTAATGATCGCGTTCGCGTGGGTATTGTCCTTCATTCTCTGGGCCCCTGCCATCTTGTTCTGGCAGTTCATTGTGGGCAAGAGGACAGTCCCCGAGAGGGAATGCTACATCCAGTTCCTCTCCAACCCGGCGGTGACCTTCGGCACGGCCATCGCTGCTTTCTACCTGCCCGTAGTCATCATGACAGTGCTGTACATCCACATCTCCCTGGCCAGCAGGAGCAGGGTAGGGAGGCACAAGCCTGAAAGCAGGAAAGATAGGAAAGGCAGGTCCCTCAGCTTCTTCAAGGCCCCCCTGATCAAACAGAACAACAATAACTCCCCCAAGAGGGCCACGGAGGTGAAGGAGGAGGTGAGGAATGGCAAAGTGGATGACCAGACTTCAGCACAGACAGAGGGCACTGGCCATCAGGAGGAGAAGGAGACGTCCAACGAGTCCAGCACTGTCAGCATGACCCAGACCACAAAAGACAAGCCCACAGCAGAGATCTTGCCAGCAGCACAAAGTCAGAGCCCGTCCCACCGCCGGACGAACCCGACTTCCAAGTGGTCCAAGATTAAGATCGTCACCAAGCAGAGCGGGTCTGAATGTGTCACTGCCATCGAGATTGTCCCCGGGAAGGGAGGAGCCTCTGACCGCAACTCCCTGGCCAACAGCCGCCCCGCCAATGTCGCCAGGAAGTTTGCCAGCATTGCCAGGAGCCAGGTACGGAAGAAGCGGCAGATGGCAGCCCGGGAGAAGAAGGTCACCCGCACCATATTTGCCATCCTGCTGGCCTTCATGGTCACGTGGACTCCGTACAATGTGATGGTCCTCATCAACACCTTCTGCGAGACCTGCGTACCCGAAACAGTGTGGTCCATCGGCTACTGGCTCTGCTGTTTGCCAGCATTGCCAGGAGCCAGGTACGGAAGAAGCGGCAGATGGCAGCCCGGGAGAAGAAGGTCACCCGCACCATATTTGCCATCCTGCTGGCCTTCATGGTCACGTGGACTCCGTACAATGTGATGGTCCTCATCAACACCTTCTGCGAGACCTGCGTACCCGAAACAGTGTGGTCCATCGGCTACTGGCTCTGCTACGTCAACAGCACCATCAACCCAGCCTGCTATGCCCTCTGCAATGCCACGTTCAAGAAAACCTTCAAGCACCTTCTCCTGTGCCAGTACAGGAACATTGGCACAGCCAGATAAACTGGCGCTCAGGGACCACTCTTCAGTAAGGTTATGGAAGCCCTTCCCTTTGCCTCCTTTGCCAGGGGGTGTCCTCTGCTCCCCACTCACAACAGTGCAGACTGTGCAGTGATCGCAGATGATGCTCTTCATCCAGTGCTGACAAAGGTCCAAGACACCGCTGAGCTGCAGCTCCTTCCAGTCACGCTGAGCCTGGGGACTAGCCTAGGGAGCCAGCAGGAAAGCTGGAGGCAAGAGGAGGAGATGTGGTCACCAGGAGCCCTCCCCAGCATCCTGCTCTTGAGAGGTTGGCCAAATAGCATCAGTGTTTGTCCTAAGACTGGATGCCTCTTCTCCCCCCTGGATGACCGTCTCCGGGACATCAGAGCTTGTCTGCATGCAGATGGCCCAATGCTGGATGCTTTCAATAGGCTTTTAAACCCTTTATTACCCAAGAAATTATAGGGTCAAATATTTGCCAGCATCTTGGACCAGGCTGGCTCAGGCATGGACAAGGGGAGTCCTGCTGGCCCAGCCAGGCCCCCTCCCAAAGCAGTCAAGATTGTACCCTACCAGATGTGGCAAGCTCTTTCTTCTCCCTTGAGAGATACCGTCAGACATCCTCACCAAGGGGACCGTGGGGAAAATTGTTCCCTGAACTTCCTCTCTGCTCTCCCCTTCATGCCCTTTCTGTCCTCAGCCAGCAACTGGCTGGACAGACAGACAGACAAACCAAGTATCTCACTTCTGGTGAGGAGTGTGAAACCCAGTCTCCTCCTTCAACAGTGGAAACTAAACTGCAAAGAAAAGCAGTGGTGTGGTGCAGGACTTCACAGCCCCGAGGGAAGGTGGCCCTTGAGAAGTGGGCAGCAGTGACTGAAAGTAACTGTCCTTGGGAGGGATGGGGGTCAGGGAGAAGGTCTTCAATGTGGTCAAGGTGCCCTGTGTCTCATCAGGGTCAGAAGCAAGCCCCAGCTCTCCCCATGGTGGGTGTTGGAGGCCCAATGCACAGCTTTGGGGATGGCTCCCAGCCCCACAGGGTGGATCCCAGAGAGACCAAAGGAGCCAGCTGCCGAGCTTTGTAAATGGACATAACCCTGTCGCTGGTGTTGTGGTGGAGCCCTCAGCATGCGGGCTTCACCCAGCACCTCCAGCCCCATCCCACCGGTGTGCGCAGCCCAGGGCTGCTCCTCAGCCTGTCCCAAAGCCGGGTCTCTGCAAGCCTTGGCGGACACAGCTGGGTGCAGGTGAGGGATGGGGCCACGCTGACACTGGCAAATGCTGCGTCTGTGTGTCCTTCCTGTCCCCGTGCCAGGGCGATGCTGTGCAACCTGGAGCAAGGCTGCCACAGCGCAGAGGGACACCCCGCCACTGCTGTTAGCACCATTCACATAGCCGTGCCCAGAGCGCCTGGTGGGCTTTGGGGTTTTTAAACTGTTACAACCACAGCCCAGCCCACCCTGATAAATAAAGACCTTGGACCAGAAACCCAACGGCCACGGCGTGAGGAGTGAATGAGTCGTTACCTGGTTGATCCTTCCCAGTGTCACCCACTGGTGACATCTCCTGCAGTGCATGGCTGGTAGCCCCATCCCTCCTGCTGAGATGGAGGGGGGAAAGCCTGAAGTGCTAGGACGAGGCCATGAGGTCTGACCATTTGCCTTCTCCAGGAGCACAAGTGTGTGTCACCAATGCCACTGCCACCAGCCACACGGTGACTTCAGTGCTGGTCCTGGTGGATTGTCAGAGCTGGGGTTTGCAGGGGTTTCAGCACAGCAGCACCCTGTGGGGATGACTGGTGGGTTCTGATACAGTTTTTAAAAGATTTTTATTGGAAAAGAAAACAAGCCCCATTTTCCAAGTGAGAGCTTCCACCCAGCACTGGTGGTGGCGCGTTGAGGCAGAGGGGCCACAGCCCTGGCATGGACACACATGGTTAGAAGTGATGGGGGAGAAGTGATGCAGTGGTTTCTGGGGGTGATGTCTTTGCTTTCCTCAGCTGCTGCAGGGAAGTTGTGCCCTGGCTGAAGGAATATGGGAAGAAGCCACCCCGAGCTGAGAACAGTCCTCTTCATGTGAGTAAGGGCCATGAGTGTTGGGGCTACTCGGGCATTCCCAGCCCTTCCCTCCAGCACTGGTACCCAGTGGAGGAGCAAAGAGGCTCCTGGGTGCCAAAGGATGCACTATAGGCCTCATTTGTGCCAGAGGGTGAGAAGATGTGTGTTCCCATCCCAGCTCTCCAGGCACACCGCAGTGAACCCCAACATCAGCCAAGTGAAGGTGAGCGGGATGGCACCAGCAGCAGGGCAGCCTCTCCTGCGGGCTGGACGGGTTTGCTCTCTACAACACTAGTGATTAAAACAAGGCATCTCAGTGAAAGAGGAGGTCACAGGAAGGAGGAAGGAGAGGAGGAGGAAGACGAGCATGGGCTGGCTGCAGCTGGGTGTCCAGCCCTGTAGGCACTGTGTCGAGGGGCCGATGAGGATGCCAGCTTCCTGCTCTAGTCCTTCCCCTTGCCCTTCTTTGCTGCATCCAAGAAGCACAGGAGACAAGAGTTAGTGTCTGCTGGCAGCTCACTGTTCTCCCCAGCGCTGCAGTGACAGAGCATCCCTGCAGGCAGCCTCCCCGCACCATGCAAAGCCATGTTTTGCACCAGCCCCTCTGAGGAGAGGGGGACATCCCTGTCCCACCAAAGCTAATGGTGACTTGTGAGGGGACCAGGGGGTTTCCTAGCAGCACCTGCATCCCACCCAGCCAGCAGCTGGACTTCGGCAATGTCACATGTGCTGATGCACAGGGAAGAGCATCCAACATGACCCCACACACGAGTGAAGCCCAGCCCCAATGGGCTATGCTACCCCTGGAGAGCCCTTGCCTGGGGTCCCAGCAGGACCATTCAGGGGACGGGAGTGGTGGCGACTGACCTTTGGTCTTCGACTTGATCTTAGATGAGCAGGGCTTGGTCACATACACGATCTCCTCACACTGGGCATTGTACAGGGCTTTCTTCAGGATGCCAGAGCGAGTCTTCACACCCGTCTGAGCGCTACAACCCCCCCAGCTCTCAAACTTGTACTTGCAGTCAGCTGGAAGAGAGGGGAGAGGTGTCAGAGCCAGACAGGACCTGGTGCAAGCATGCCCAGCGTGGTCCCGTGCACCCACCTCCAAACTTCTTCTTCCAGTTGCAGGGGATCTTGCACTTGAGCTTCTTGCTCTCCTCTCTGCAAGTCCCCTCGCGGTAGCCCAGGCCACAGTCCTTGCTGTTGGGGACGCAGGGTCCCCAGCGCCAGTCCTCACACTTGGACACATCCTTCTTCACCTTCTCTGTGGGGGGAGGCAGAGTGGGTGCTCGCTGCAGGGACACGGGAGCATGCCCTGGGGTGTTCCCTGCCCCACCAGCCCCGCAATGCCCCTCACCTTTCTTGTTCTTGCCAGCCTCGGTGGTAGTGGCCAGCAGCATCAGTGCCAGGAGGAAGAGGAGGCTCCGGACCTGCATCCTGCCTGGGGAGAGGGACAGAAGGGTGAGGGGTTAGGGTGCAATGTGGCAGTGAGGAGGGGGCACAGTGGGCTGCAGATGGGACTATGCCAGCTGCCTCCATATGTGTGCATGTGTATATCCCTATGCCCTGCTCTTTGCCAACCATTAGACCATGTGTATTAATTATCATAGAATGGTTTGTGTTGGAAGGGAACTTACAGATCATCTAGTCCCAAACCCCTGCCATGGGCAGGGACACCTTCCATTAGAGCAGGTTGCTCCAAGCCCCTGTGTCCAACCTGGCCTTGAACACTGCCAGGGATGGGGCAGCCACAGCTTCTCTGGGCACCCTGTGCCAGCGCCTCAGCACCCTCACATTAAGGATTTTTTTCCTAATATCTAATCCAAATCTCCCCTCTGTCAGTTTAAAGCCATTTCCCCTTGTCCTGTCACTACAGGCCCTTGTTCAAAGTCCTGCTCTGGATTTCCTGTAGGCCCCCTTCAGGCACTGGAGCTGCTCCAAGGTCTCCCCGGAGCCTTCTCTTCTCCAGGCTGAACAAGTCCAGCTTTTTCAACCTGTCTCCACAGGAGAGGTGCTCCAGCCTTTGGGGCATCTCTGAGATTGTGTATCTCTGCAACTGTCTCCAGCCAGGAGCTGTTGGACTGGGAGCTTGTCCCCATCCCTGCAGCCCCCACTGCACTGTATGGCTGAAATGCTCTCCACGGGGATCCCCACACAACCCCCTTTCTCTGTGGGTCCTTTATCCAGCACCCAGCAGGTTGCCACCCCACACCAATGAACCCCAGGGCTGGGGGAGCACCACTGCCATAGTACCTTTCTCCTGAGGAATGCAAGGAGAGAAGAAAAAAGCCCAGCAAACCCAAACCTGCTGCCATGAGGGTTTGAGAGCCAAACACCAAAAAAGCTAAATTCCTCACTGTGTTAGAGCTGGTTGGAGAGATGGAGCGGGAGCGCTGCGCCCACTGCTGGCACTGCAGCTGGCGGCACAGCACCCCTGCATGCAGGGGGTTGTGTGTGCATGTGTGTGCATGCATGTGAATGTACCTGGGAGCAGGGTGAGGATGAGGGTGCATATACACAAGGATGCAGCTCCTGGGGCCCTGTTCTTGGGCCAGGGGACAGTTCTCCTCTGGCTACCACCATGAGCCTCTGTGGGCCACTGCTGCCAGCCCTGGGGTCCCGGCTCCTGTTCCCAACAGGAGTGCAGACGTGCATAGCTGGTGAATCAAGTCTGGTGACCTCTTCCCTGCTCCCCCAGAGCCTTTGCAATGACATCCATTATTTCATAGCAGCAAATACATCATACCTGCCCTGGCTCCACGACAGGCTTGGTGGGACCAGGATGTAGAGGTCAGGATGCACCATGTGCCCCAGGCGACATGAATGCAGGGAAGAGGCTGGAGTCAGCATGTGCTCCCTGCCCCCAGGCTCCCCGGGCAGCGTGCTGCAGAGAGCAGCTCCCCACATTATTCAGGCTCCAGCGCACTCACCTTTTATGCATCCACCGCCGTGAAGCTGCTG